ATATATCTGTGATTGTATGGCTTCGAAAAGAGAACTCTTCGCTGAATCAGTCTTGTTTTATTTTATTCAAATGGAAGAGAAATATAAAGATTTTTAAGAAACTAATCAAATATATCACAGATTGAAATCATGAGTCAGTTGAAGCTAGACCACCATGGAAAACCTGGAATCACCGGACGGCCGTTTCGTCCTAGTGTGGGACTCCTCAGCAGTGCGCATCCACGATCCCGCACCCCGCGGGATTCAAACACAGGACATATCAGTCTCGTGCCAAGCTCTTAACCAACTAGACCACTGAGCCGGCATTCAATGGTGTTAATGTCTAACCTCAACCAGTCCACGAATTTGCGCCACCGTATACCATTGTCTTCAGTGGTGGTCTAGCTTCAATTGACTCATGATTTCAATCTGTGTAATTTCTAAAATCTCCACAAACCCTTCGTGATAATAATCGAATATATATTTGCCATAACTACATGATGAGGATACAATTACACGAGTCACTATATATATATTCTTTACACTGGTCAGTAGAATAATACATAACTTAAAATAGAAAATCGATATTATGATAGTAATATTTGGTAAGATAATGAGTAGAGATAATATAATCATCAGTTTATCAAAGTATAAACTACAATTATTCTGCAGAGTTTATCGATATTTTATTCTATAACTTAAAATATGGATAATGAATATCAAAATTTGTTCAAGTAACTATAAAAGGAGAAATTATGTCAGAATCATTTGTTTGTCCATCTGAATAATATTTAATATTTCGATACACTACTTATTTGATTTCGTAAACGTTACAATCAGCTTAGCAACCAATCAGAATGAAGTGGGAATTATTATATCCGCCATCTTTGTAAGCAATGGCGGTCAGCTTTCTACGTTCTTTGTTTTATCAGCTATTTTTTTGTGTCGCTACATAATTTAATGTTTCAGTGTGCTAAAATACCTCAGTTGATGTAATGTTCTAAATGTTGGTGTGAAATTTATTTGGATTCAGCATTGTTTTCTGGGTTTTTGCTGCTGCTACTCAAGTCAATGTATTTCTTCAGGCAATCTGGCTCGTCTTATGTTACAAAACGTTAATCCGTTTTGTTTTGAGTACAACAATCCTTTCTTCAGTAACATCATGCACTGACGGTCTATCTGGAAACAATCAACTATGTGATTAAACTCACTATGACTTGGGATATCATCCCAGCGTGCAATAAACGTACAGTGTAACACAGTCAGATGTGGCAAATAAAAACTATAACCAGAGCAAAATTAACAACATAATCTAGTTATTTAATTAAAAATACATTATGAAATGACAAATTCTATGATTACTTGAACGCACAGATGACCGTCATTACACTGGGAGGTACATTAGGCTTACATGGTTGCGTTGCGGATAAAATCACCCTTATTTGTGCAAAATGTTTATTTTAAACTTTTACTAAAATGATATTTGTAATAATTCTTACTACGTTTCTATTGAAATTATTCTTGTTTGAACAGGTCTAATAAATAAGTGTTATTCTTGATTGAGTAATGATTAAGTTAATATTAATGTACATTTTCTTTGTACTTGTGTTCCACTACATTTATGACAACATTTGTATTTATCGTGCTAAATTTATGACTCTATAAGAAAATATTAAGCTAGTTGGTGATTGTGTTAAATTTATGTTTAATATATTCTTGTTTATTCTCTATCTGAATAAACAAATGTTGCTACCTTGACGTGGTGATCGGGCTCGCCTATCGTGATGATACAACCGAGCTATACTGGCTGGGACAAGCGTTCCTCAAGGTTCTACCATGTCAGACAGGTCATAATCAACCTCCCTCTTCGATTCCTAATATTCCTCCTACATCGACTGACTGACTGACTGAATATCTATTTTCGAAACATTATTGTATTCAACTTTTAACTAACATGATAAGTCACAAGAATATGTACGAGGTTAGTAATAGTATGTATCTTACTAGCCTCGTAATATTTCAGTGAAGTTAAATCAAGGTTATAGAATATTCACAATTAGAGATCACATTTAATAAAATAACTGAAGTAAGAATTATATTGAGTAGTCATAGAATAAAACAAATCACTATCCTAAAAAGGTTGATAAGGTTACAGGAAAGCTTCTGAGAAATGAGCAATATAACAGTCATAAAACTTTTGTGAAACATGTTGAAGTAATTGAACGTGTAGTTTACTGTAATAAAAATAATCAGAAGCAAGTCTTCATATAAAAAAATTTAGTTCGGTCGCTGATAACTCCTCTACAGAGCATCTAATCATTTAGAGCTATTATCAATATCGTTGGTTGGATTCTTCAACTAACTTATCCAAATCCCTAGCTTTGTATATAGTTGTTCAGTTAATGGGTTGAATTTGATTGACTCGGATGTACTTTGATTTAAGTGTAAGATTTAGTATGTATTGGGGTAGAGTTTCAAGTCAGCACATTTTTTGGAATAGCCTTAAACTTTCGTATATTATAAATGTTTACTTATTAAAATTAAGTAGCTAAAACATTTGTAAACATTTATGAATTTTGATAGAAAATAGTATGAAGTCTACTACTTCTAATTGATAGCCGATAGCCTTGTAACTGACTTTTTGACATGTCTTTAGATTAATGAGTGGCTAAAAGATTTTATCCCAGCACTCATTCATAGTATATTTTTCGTGAATTTCAGAACTTAAGTAAAATAGATCACTGATTTTAGAAAATGGTCAGGATTTTCAAGTGAATTTGGGCATTTAGGCACGTTCTATGAAGAATGCTAAGTTGTCATTTCAACGAAACAGATATCAAGACTGGTATTGTTTTCAGTTATAATTGCTGCCATTTACAAAATGTCAGTAAATGTCAGGTACACATAGTTTTAAATCTGACTTGTAAAATTAAGTAAATAACTTCAAATAAGATTTATACATACAATTCCCTTAACCAATAAATTCTGTTTACTTTAAAAGTTTTAGTATTTTATAGTCATAATTGTTTGCTTCTTATTTGTCACTCCATACCACTGTCTACTAACAAGTATTTTCGTCCAGTTGCCATTTATACGTCTGTATCAAGCATTTTAACTAAAGAGATATGATTTCGAGGAATTTACCACTATTATTATTAGTGGCTTCGTTCAGTATTGAATTTTCGGTACAATATAGAATTCTCAGAACAAAATACTTCAACAAGTTTCTTTAACAAAACAAAAGAAAGAAAAAAACGATAACTGCATACATATATACATAAACTAAGTAAATAATTTACCTAGAATTAAATGAAATGAAATTAACAATATTATAGTCACTACAACTTTACAGTCAGAAATATGTTTAAGAATACGAGGTATTGACTAGGTCAGCTCTTACAACCTGTTCGTCACATGGTATATTTCCTAGATAAGGTATCGTAGAGCTTTTATATTTTTGCTTCCGTGCATGGATTCTAATGCACTGACGTCTCGTTCTACCAGGAGATAGACGGGGAGGAATATATAAACGAAATGGATAGCTAGTATCTGTTAAGACAACGCCTGCCATGAGTTTGCAAGATTTTAAATGTCTATCCACAACCATATCAGTGATGACCTCAAAAGATTCACCATATACCCTGTATATGTAATAACAAAAATTGTTGAATAACATTACATTTTGTGATTAAAGTTATCTAAACATTTTATGCGTGTTTTCTGAAGTTGCATACTTTTTTGAGTGGTGATACATACATTCTAATTCGGTTTGATCACTAGAATTCATTTCTCATTTGTCGTTTTGCTCTAGTAGCCGTTTAAGCTCGCATATATGAGGAGATTGTGTATTAGTATCAAAGCTTGAGCACCGCACGTTACAATATTATTTATTGTTGTACATAAAATTATTATGATGATAATCAGATGGTATCTTTGAATCGGGAAATTTCTACTATTAATATCTGGAACTTTTATTTTCTAAGGAAAACGAGTGATTTAACTGTTATATCCGTGTTCCTGTTGACCATGTCTTTAGCGCCCAATTTTTGGTCACTACTGAAATATCAGGGGTGATCTCAGTGAATGTGCATATGTAACCTTTTCTATCTATGTAGGTGTGGTCTCTATTGTATACGTATTGCTTCTGTTGAATACTCAGTCTTATTGTTTATATTCTGATACAAATATCACCACGATTCCCACAACTCTCAGTGAGAACAAATAAGACCGATGCAATCAAGATTTATTTGACTGTTTAAATAAAAGTCCCCGAAACAAATCCGGGAAAATCACGTCTGAAATCATAATTTAAAGATCGAAGTATGATCATTCGTTTATTAATTTTCACATCAAAATATTCTGTTGTTTCTTTCGTTTTTATTTATTATTCAACATAGCAACCGTTTGGCTTGTCGAACAATTACTTTGATTATTATAATCTTTTTCTTCCAATTAGTCGATATTGTTTTATACCTACAGTGACAGTATATAGTTATTACGTAACCCAACTACTCGATGAGGATTACCTCATTGTTGTAAATCACACACACATACATACATATAGCCATGATGAGAAATTAACTGAAAAGAGATTTCTTCGCTCTGTTCGTTCGTCTTAATAAGAAAGCAATCTCTAGTAATTCGATGAATTCCAAGAATATTCAAAGAGCTGTTAGTAACCTATGTGTAAATTAATTGGGTCTAAATATTTTGATATTGTCTATTTGATCCTTAAATAGTCAATAGCAAATTTTATCTGGGAATCTTTTTAAGTGTTCGCAGCATCAAATAGTCTGACCACTTAGTACCAGGTTCGATGTACAGTAGTTTCTCTAGTGTCTAGGACGAAGTTGTGAGATCTACCGAGTTACACTACAGTACAGTTCAATATCTACTATCGTAAAATACATACGAACAACTCCAGAATACTTTGAGCAAATGAGATTCTATTGATAATTTGTATAAGAAGTGTACAGCTTAAAGGTAAGGCCTAATACTCTAAAATAAAAAGCATATTCTTGTGAGATTTGATGCAGGGGAAACATAAAAAATTCGGTATGAACTCAAGTCTTCAACACAAATGTTGGGCATAAATGTACAAGGTTGTGTTAGGACACTTATCGGTCGTCTAAAGTAATACACAGGGATAAGTATGTAATTATTATTACTTAATCAATCTGTCATGTTTCACCATCCAAATCAACTCCAGTGAGTGTTGTATTGATTGAATCCGTATCACTATTACTTCGACTTAAACCTATTGTTCTCACTGTTGGTTTACTAGGGAAATCAATGACAGTTTCACGATTTTTCACAGTTTGTACACGTTCCATTTTATATGCCTCTGGTTCTAGCCGACATCCAGCTTCAAGTTGTCGCAGTAGACCAGCATTTGAACTATTGTCACATTGTAAAATTGTGGCTGCCCATAGATCATCTTCTAAATAATCGATAATTTGTAATCCACGAGTAATATATGATAGTGAAGTTTCTGACATGTTCAAATCATGATGTGGTGAATCCATATCACTTAGACTCTGTAAACAATAACAAAAAAATACGAGTTGTAACGATGTTGTAAGAATCAAATGAATAACTTCAGTCTTATAAATAAGCTTTAAAATTGAACAGAATAATTAAAATGGAACTATAAAGATGAATGAAGTAGGAATAGTTAACTGCATTCGTAAAAACAACTGGTATTTCAAGAGACTTTTCCCATGCTTCACAATATTGAATTTGTTTTGTTTACTCCACTAACTTCATCAAACACTTCAAAACCTGGATTATTTTAAATGGAACGACATATACTACTAAGAAGTACTGATTTATTTAATATTGTTTAAGTTATTCATAAGTCAACACTGCTTGCATGTGAACGCTTAAACCTGACAAAGTTTAAATTGCATACTTTAAAGGTACACTAAACTTCATGTTACAATCGAATATTGACAAAAATAAACAGATGAAGATACACGGTACAATTCTTAAATGAAGAATGATTTTTTCCAAATAACGCATGGTAGATGGATGATATTCAGGAAAATTTTGTCTACACTTTAAAAATTAATATCACATACTAATGATTATTCAAAGATAAACTTATTCGGTTTCTCAGCATGATATAGTTACTTCATGAGTCAACTGAAACTTCAGTGAGCAGTAAAACTAAGTACACAATAATTTTAGTTATTCACTAATTACATTGACCGACCGATTTATGATTGTAACTTATCTGTATTATAGACAATCGACAAAGTAAGTTGGAATGACACGTGAAGTAAACATTTGTTTTAAAAAAAGCTTAGGGTCAAATGATTCGATTTCCTAAACAAATGATATTTAGTAGCATTTTCACAGCTGAAGTCACGAACCGATCGACGAGGGAGACTACTATTGAAAACCTAGAAGCATTGGATGGCTTTTTTAGTTCTAGTATGGAACTTCTTGAGAGTACTCATTCATCGGAGTTCAATCCGTGTTGGATGTGAAACAGTTATTCATGGCAGGCAATAAATGAAGGGTTGCACAAGACCATAGAATGATTCAAGTTAAACATCAACACCGTTTTATGCCATCTCAGTGGTCTAGAGGTTTAGCATTACTGCATAAAACTGAAGGTCCTAGGCCCGATTTCCACCTTGGTGGGTTGTGGTCGTGGATACGCATGGCTAGAGAGTTCCATAGTAGGGAAAAATGCCCTTTCAATGCTTCCAAGTTTTTATTGCTGGTCTAGTTAAGATCAGTTCATCATTTCAACTGTGAAAATTATATTTAATAAAGATACCTCAGCTCAATTGCACATTGCTATATACGAAAAAGTAATCGAAAAGAACACCAAATTTCTTCTGCTTATGTACAAGTCACTGACATTTGATGAAACAGAACAATATTATAAATGTGGAATTATGTTAATAACAACAAAATGTCATCAAACTATTATCACATAAATGCAAAGATGGATAGTGGCTAGCAGTGGAATCCAGGACGCTCGTTTCGTCCTACTAGGGATTCGTCAGTTAGGTGTACTTGCACCTCATAGTTGATGTTCACTCTGGCGCTCGAACTCAGTACCGTTCACTCCAAACGCCATCTCGTTATCCACTTAGCTACTGAGGCACTACACACAGTATGCACATATGCCAATAAGAGACTGATCAATTACACTCCCAAACATCCGTGGGAAGATTCAACAAAGCAATATCAAGTAAATATTATTACATGTGTAATAATTATAATGTAGTCTGTATACAATTTATCTAATCACCTATATATAAATCTAAATAGATAATATATAAAGACAATCATAAAATTTGTGTAATATATAGGACATTGATAATGGTAATTGAACAATTAAACAATAAATGTATAATAATTCTTATCATTGATCATTTAAAAAAATTAATTTAATCTGATAAATAAATCCGCATAAAGTTTTGTTTAATTTAAATGAATCTCGTGGAAGAGGGCGGGATCGTGGATGCGCACTGCTAAGGAGTTTCACAATAGGACGAAATGGCCGTTCAGTGCTTCCAGGTTTTCCATGATGGTCTAGCTTCAATTGACTCATGATTTAAACTATTAAAATTACTATTATATCCACAATACCCCTTCTGATAATTTAAATGAATCAAATCTAGTTCATTATATCATTGTCCATTAATTATTATATAGAATTAGTCTATATATCATCAGATAAAATTGACAAAATAATCCTGAAAATAATCAACATTTTATTGATTTATAAACAAAAAAGATAACTTTAATGAAAATCTGTATTGTGAAAATGGTTGTATAACTTTAGTCTGTATAATCTTCTTAATAAATTTCATTAAAAAGCTAATGATTGAACTTTATGATACAGATACATGAAGATATCTGTAAGCTGAATGAATGATTCTTATATAGTACACAACTTGAGATTTTTAATATAAAAGATAAATAAAAAAGAAATCAATAGTTATAGATTTATCTTGGAGACAAAATTGTTATTCGAAGAACTAAATATCTTTCACATTCTTCAATTCTCATTACAATAATAATTTATAAAAGCTTCATCTGTCAAGTCTAAGCAATTGAAATTTCATGGGATGTATATTCGGCTAAGTTACTTTTTTTTAAAATGAATGTTTATTGAAAAAGATTTTTGAATTCTATGCAGAAACTAAAAGCCTTAGACAGCGAGTTTTAATGTATATTGATGTATTTCGATAGGCAAATTTATGGCGAAATTGGTTAGCTGAAGTAACTTTTGGAATGATGGCATAATTTTAAAGTCACTTTTCGATATCTGTATAAATAGAAAGCATTTCATACTAGGGATAACGAAATCTTTTTGAATTTAGGGGTTTTTAGGAATATCACTACATAAGCACTTAAAATGTGACCAAATTTTCTCCAAATTTCTCTGATATTCATAAAGTTTTAGAGTGTTCATGAATACTGTAGATTGATATTGCTGTCGTATATTTTATGCAATAGATGAAAGTTATACATATTTAAATTCCAACTGAAAACCCAATGTTAAATTTTTTAAAATTATACCTGGGTTATCTTCACTTTACACTTTCATTGTACGTTCATTCAGTTTGGTCATTCAACGCACTGTTGAGGAGTCCCATGATAGGACGAAACAGCTATCCAGTGCTTCTAGGTTTTCCATGGTGGTCTAGCTTTAACTGACTCATGATCTCAACCACTGAAATTATTATAATATCCACAAAAACTCCTTAAATAACTTTACCACCAAAATTGCAGAGTTCACTGAAAATTTAACAAAGGCAATTGTAGCAGTAGTCTCTGCATCAGTAGGCCTCAGCATACACAAGGGTAAAACCAAGGTCCTCAAATACAACACGGAGAACACCAATCCAATCACTCTTGATGGCGAAACTCTGGTAGATGTAGAATCTTTCAAATACCTGGGAAGCATCGTCGATAAACAAGGAGGATCAGATGCAGAAGTAAAGGCAAGGATGGGCAAAGCAAGGGCCGCATTCTTACAATTGAAGAACATATGGAACTCAAAACAACTTTCAGCCAATATCAAAGTCAGAATCTCCAATACCAACGTCAAGGCATTCAGTTGTACTGTACGGAGCTGAAACTTGGAGAACTACAACAACCACCATCAAGAAGGTACAAGTATTTATAAATAGCCGTCTATGCAAGATACTCAATATCCATTGGCCGGATACCATCAACAACAGCCTTTTGTGGGAGAGAACAAACCAGCTTCCAGCTGAACAGGAAATTAGAAGACGACGGAAATGGATAGGACATACATTACTCAAATCGTAGCAGATATGAAAAGGATGAATAACAACTGGAAAGAGCTGGAAAGGATTGCCCACGACAGGGTTGGATGGAGAGTGCTGGTGGATAGCCTATACTCCTCCACGAAGAGTAACAGGCGTAACTAAGTATTGTTAACTCATTTTTTTCGTCTTCACACAATCCACTTGATGTTTTTTCCATATTCGACATTCAAATGATTTGTTTAGATCATTTACCTTTCTCATTCATTTTTTATTAAAATAAATCAGTCAGCACACATTATGGTTAAAACCAAATAATTTAAACGTTTCTTTTCTATAGCTACTAAAGTCCATCTTATATTTTTTATCTCTGAAATATAAAGAACACAACAAAGTTAATGAGGTCATGTCTAAACGGAAAGCAGAAAAGGATGTTTGTCTATTAATTTCCAATTTTTTTTTCAAAATTATAATCGTTTACTCTCTTTTAAAACTAAATCTCCCCCCACAAGAAAGAGAAAATATTGAATACAGGTCATACTTTTTTTTCACATTCAATTATTGATAAACACAATCACAGTGTCAAGTCACTTTAAGGATAATCCTAATTTAAATCGAATTTTCTTTCTTACCAAAAAGAAAAAAAAGAAACAAGAATTACTTTGAATAGAAGGTGAAAATGTAACTACAAACTAAATTATAACAAACATTTTATTGATAAATAATTAAACTTAGTAATGCATACACTCGCGGCCTGCTTGAGTATCTGGGCTACCTATTCCTACCATCTAGATATTTCAACAAGTTATCTATTTCTGTTTGTTTTAATACATCATTATGTTTATTAATCGCATAACATATCCTGATGCATTTCTGAAAAGTGTACAATTTTTTGTTGTCAAAGTTCCAAAAAACCCAATAAGAGATAATGTGGTCGCTGGCAATATACAGCAAAAAGAATATACATTATTCAGATGTTCATTTACTGGACTGCTAACATCTAACTGGTGATCATTCAATATTTATCGTCAGGATCGACTAAGAACTAAGAAATGGAAACTTGTTGAAATACTTTGTGCTAAGAATTCTATATTGTACCAAAAATATAATATTGAATAATGCTTATAATAATAATAATTACCATTGTGTATATGTAAATGATAAAATGATTTAGGTATTTTATTTATGTATCTATTTTATTTATTTATTTATTTTTTGGTAAAATGGGATCAAGTTATGGTAAATTTGTTATTAAATTGATTGTTCTAACTATTGTCATA